AAGCAGCTAGGATAATAACAGGTCTTTGTTCTGGGGTATCACATGACAAACTATACAATGAACTAGGTTGGGAAACACTATCTGTAAGACGAAATAAACACAAAAATGTAATGATGTACAAAATTATGCATGGGCCGACACCTCAATACTTACAAAATGTTTTAAATCCCTTATTAATAATCAAAATGATAACCCCTACCCTCTCAGACAAACTAGGCTTTTCAACCGAACTAATAACTATTTCGACAGCTTTTCCCCCTCAAATGTGCCGCACAATTAACACTGCAAAATCTGATCTTCCTAATTTTTCCTCTCCTGCAGCACTAAAAAGATATTTGCATAAAGATATTGTTTCTGATAGTGAATCTGTATCAATTTTCAAAACAGAAGGTAACCGAAGAGCAAGTATTATTCTATGTTAACTTCGAAACTCTTGTAGTAATTTAAATTATGATTTATACCATGACCATCTTACTAATAGTTCAGCTTGTACCTGCTCTGCTGAACATGAAACAGTATCTCATTACTATTTGGAATGTCCTATTTTTAATAATCAAAGAACTACTTTGTTCACTTCTCTTAATAGTTGTGGCAACCACAATCACATTGATATAAACATTCTTCTCCAGGGCTGTCCTGATTGTGATGGGCTTACAAATAGACGAATACTTGATGATGTGCATAATTTTATTGGAAAATCCTGTCGTTTAAATTTGTATATGACTTAAAGCCAAGGTGTACATGTTCAAACAAAAATAAACTGATTCTATATTACATCCAGGAGATTCTAGTTGGGCATGACTACTGACTATTACATGTACTTATCTTGACATTGTAAATAATTACACTCTATATGTATTAAATGAATTTATTAGTTTTAATTGTAACAGTTGTTGGTAGCAGTGGCCTGTGCAATATATGCACATGGACTTTTGGTCTAAGCCTGCCAATATCTGTCTATGATAGTGTATATATATGCTGAAATAAATGTATTTGTACATGTACTTGTATGTGTGTGTGTGAGGTGTGTGAGATGGGTGAGATGTGTCCTTCATGAGTTACTTCCCCTTAGCCTTGTGTTAATAAAAATTATGTCTAAAATATTATGTCGCATTGTTTATTATTCCACTTTGGCCATTTGACGGAGAGAATTTATATAGACTTTGCCTGTTATTCTATCCAATTGACTATGACATCTTGTCAATAAAATTTGATGAAATGAAAAAACATCGCTAAGTATGACCACCCTGCACCATATATAACCTTCACATTTCAATTACAGAAATAATAACACCAGGGCCCGTTTGTTCAAAACTATCGTTAAGCTTACGATGTCGTTAAATTTAACGAGTTAACCGCTAATTCTGCGTTAGTTAACGCCCTGCGTTAAATCCTTTTAAATATGAAAAAAAATGATAAAAAAAAAAAAAATGGCTAATATTTCTGTTTTAATATATATGGAACAGGTATATATATAAACTGTTGTAGAATATTTTCCCCTTATATTATGATGTCGATAAACTACACAACAAATGTTTACCGGATCTGAATGTGTCACTTTTATGTTAGCTTAACCTTTTTATTCGTAAAATATGTATCGATATTTACTTGAAAATACACTTTAAATTCGTAAAACATTTTCGAGAGAAACAGGGTTAATGGTTTTTAATATGTTTGACCCCTGTGACTTTGAAAATGGGTGAAGGTCATTCATTTGAACAAACTTGGTAGCCCTTCAGTGTCAGCATGATACTGGTGAAATATCATTATCCTAGGTTGCTTGGGTATTCAGGAGAAGTTGTTTAAAGGTTTTAAACATATTTGAACCCGTGACCTTGAAAATGGGTGAAGGTAATTTGTTTGAACAAACTTGGTAGCCCTTCATCCCAGCATGTTACTGGCCAAATATCATCATCCAAGGCCTTTTGGTTATTCAAGAGAAGTTGTACAAAGGTTTTTAACATATTTGACCCCTGTGACCTTGAAAATAGATGAAGGTAATTTGTTTAAACAAACTTGGTTGCCCTTTATCCAAGCATGATACTGGCTAAATATCATCATCCTAGGCCTTTTGGTTCTTGAGCAGAAGTTGTTTAAAAGGTTTTTAACTTATTTGACCCTGTGACCTTGAAAATGGGTGAAGGTAATTTATTTGAACATACTTGGTAGCCCTTCATCCCAGCATGTTACTGGCCAAATATCATCACCCTAGGCCTCTTGGTTATTCAGTAGAAGTCGTTCAAAGATTTTAACATATTTGACCCTGTGACCTTGAAAATGGATGAAGGTCATTCATTTGAACAAACTTGGTAGCCCTTTATTCCAGCATGCTCCTGGCCGAATATCATCATCCTAGGCCTTTTGGTTACTGAAAAGAAGTTGTTTAAAATAAAAAGTTGACGCCGGACAGATGGACGCCGGACGACGGACGGACGATGGACGCTGCACCATGGCATAAGCTCACTTGCCCTAAAAACTGTAGACCATTTTCTTCGTGACGCAGGTTTTGTATCATTTTGGCATAAAACAGCATAAATATCTTGTGCCCCTTTAGTCTTTCTTAATATACTATTAAGATTTAAAGGTATATTAGGTAAACAAATACTCTTTTCTAAAGCAAAGATTTCTTGTTTACTAATTATATACTGTTTTATAGCACTAATTATACTGTGAAAAGTTAAACAAGAGGCCCAGAGGGCCTGTATCGCTCACCTGAATATGTTTAAAATAATTGGTATGAAGTAAAGATAAAGCACTCCATGGTAGGTGCTGTAAGTACATATGAAATTTCAGAAAGATCCATCCAGTACTTGAGATATAGCAAGAACAAACTTCAAACAGAGCCCCACCTCTATGCCCCTAGTGGGGTCAAACCCACCAATTATACAAAATTGAGTCCCCTTGGTCCAAGGATGCTCCAGACTAAATATGGATAAAATCCCTTAATCCTGATGGTTGAAGAAGGATTTTAAAGGTTTTACCTCTATTTCTCCTATTGGGCCCAGCCCTTCTGCCCCCGGGGAGACCACACCCACTGCTTATACAAAATTGAGTCCCCTTTGCCTAAGGATGCTCCAGACTAAATTAGGATAAAAGCCCTTAATCCCTATGGAAGAAGAAGGATTTTTAAGGTTTTACCTCTATTTCCCCTATTGGGCCCTGCCTCTCTGCCTCCAGGGGGGTTAGACTCACCGTTTTTACAAAATTGGTTCCCCTTCACCCAATGATGCTTCATACCAAATTTGGACAAAATCCTGTCATTCATACAGAAGAAGGTATATGAAGAATTTGCTGTTTCCCCTAATGGGCCTCGCCCTTCTGTTCCCAGGGGTGGGGGGTGGGGGGGCACACTCACTGTTTATACGAAATTGAGTCCCTTTTGTCCAAGGATGCTCAAGACTAAATTAGGATAAAATCCCTTAACCCATATAGTAAAAGAAGGATTATAAAGGTTTAACTTCTATTTCCCCTATTGGGCCCCACCCCTCAGGTCCCAGGGGGGCCACACCCATCGTTTATACAAAATGGTTCCCCTTTACCCAAGGATGCTTCAGACCAAATATGGAACAAATCCTTTCATTCCTACAGAAGAAGGATATTAAAGAATTTGCTATATTTCCCCTATTAGGCCCCACCCCTCAGCCCCCAGGGGGGCCAGACCAAACGTTTATACAGAATTGGTTCCCCTTCACCCAAGGATGCTCCAAAACAAATATGGAACAAATCCATTCATTCCTACAGAAGAAGAGGGATTTTAAAGAATAATTTGCTATATTTCCCCTATTGGGCCCCACCCTTCAGCCCCCAGGGGGGCCACACCCACCATTTATACAAAATTGAGTCCCCTTGGTCCAAGGATGCTCAAACCTAAATTAGGATAAAATCCTTTAATCCCTACTGTAGAAGAAGGATTTCCAATGTTTTACCTCTATTTTCCCTATTGGGCCCCGCCCCTCTGCCCCCAGGGGGGCCACACCCATCGTTTATACAAAATTGAGTCCCCTTGGCCTGAGGATACTCCAGACCAAATTTAGTAAAAATCTACTTGGCCGTTCAGGACTACAACATGTAGTAGCGTTTCAAAGGAAAAGGTGACAGACGAACGACGGACGCTGCGGTATGGCATAAGCTCACCATGGTCCTTCGGACCAGGTGAGCTAAAAATTGGACCTAATACCATATCTACGTTGAAATTCTACAAAATTATAAAAAGAACCATCTTCTTTCATAACATCATATATAACAAGAGTACCGTGGGGCGGAACAATATTCGCCTGTCGAATGCCATATAGCCTTGCATTGAAATAAGATCTGCATCATTCTAAGAGTGGTTAGCTGACATGCTATAAAAAAATTGTAGGAGAAAATTTCTGGACAAAAAATCAAATACTGAAATGAACAAAGGGCAATAGCTTTTGCAAAAATCGACGATTCAAAAGTCTTTTAAGGGAGACACAACTTCATATCATGATTATAATGTACACTGTATACCAAGTTTCAAAGAGATCGGTCGAAAAATGTAGGAGGAGATTGCGGAACAAACAAAAGTTTACGCCAGACGGCCGGCCGGCCAGACGGAGTGAAATTTCTTCTTTTCCACGAATTTATGAGAGATTTAAGTTTAACAAGTTTCTTATCAAAGTTTAATTTAACTACCCTATGTAAATCAACATCAATGCCTAGCAAATTAAAACTTGTACTTCCCCACAAAAGATTGTGCTCTGTTGTTTATTTATTATTAATATATTTTTCACTGCCTATCCAAATTACTTGGGTTTTGGTGAATTTACATTTGTGAACCTTCACCCCACCCCCATCACCCCATCCCCACCCCACCCTGTCCGCCTTCATCACTGGATCTACCACTTAATAATACAATGTATTGTCATTCTACATGCATATATAGATTTACAATTATACACTTTCAATACATTTCTTAAAAACAGTTATACTTGTTTCATTTATTGATGCTGAGATTAATTAAAACAGAATCACATTACTTTTCAACAGCCATTCAACTTTAATTTGTACTACAATAACATATTATTGACATATTTGAATGTTATAGATTTCTTAACAATTTTAGAAATATTTTGTAAATTGAGGGATCATTAACAATGATTTCCGTCCCTATCAATGATATAACCGGAGTAACATCGAGATATTGACGTCAGTCTGCCTTTATAAGTAAAAACGTCAAGATATAACCCCATGTTTAAATGTCTTGTGTACGGCCTTGACATGTGAAGATTTCAGGGTGTCAGCCATCTTATGATGAAATGTTTCTTCTTCCCTGAAATGACAGTTAAATAGTATCACATATTTACGTAGATTTCAGTAAATCAAGGCATAGACTTTGGTGTATACAAAAACTAAGATGAGTTTCCATTTCAAGAAAGATCAGGAATCATTACAGCGAACATTTGTAAACACCATTATAAACATAATAACTAAATGAGGAGGGCAAATTTAATATTGTGAGAAAATGGGTTTTACCGCCGAAGGGTGAACATTTGACTGGGCAAACATTTTTCAGTATACAGTACTTAAAGGACAAGTTTTGTCAATCTCATATACCATTGAAACGCATTGCCCTGATAGCTTGCTTAAACTTTCATAACTTGAAGTTATGTTCCCTGACAGTTTGCTGTTCAATAAATTATCGTTATGTCCCCTGACAGTTTGCTGTTCAATAACTTAGAGTTATGAGCCCTGGCAGCTTCCTGTTTATAACTTAGAGTTATGTCCCCTGACAGCTTCCTGTTTTATAACTTAGAGTTAAGTCCCCTGACAGCTTCCTGTTTATAACTTAGAGTTATGTCCCCTGACAGCTTCCTGTTTTATAACTTAGGTAGCAGTGTACAGTAGCGTGCGATGGCCATGGGTGATATTTTTATACAATGAATAACCACTGTAATAAAAATTTTTTAAAAAATCAGCACTAAAATTGGTATATACACGATGAAGTGGACTATCTGGGCTTCATATTTTCAAAAAAGAAAAAAATCGAATTTGTTTTGAGACTACAGTTTGGGGCATTTACAAATCTGTGTCTACACAACAAAAGCTAGTTTTCATGTAGTCTATTTTTGTACTCAGCACATGTGTAAATATTGTGAAAAATCCAGTTGAACGACCTATGCTAAAACATGATTATTTCTGTTACCAAATAGGGGATATACTATTTAAGAGAGGTTTTAAGAAAAATATTACTACTTGCAAGGTCAAATTTTGGGTTTAAAATCATGTTTTTTTTTTTTTTTTTTTGTGGTAACCATGGTTTTTACAAGTCCTAAATCTGGGGAAAACAGTTTTTGAAAAAAAAATCAGTCTTCTTAACAAAATGTAATCAAAATGTAGTTTCTAAATATGTATACATATTTAGATATGTTGTGCAGGTTGAATTCACTATTCATGTTTATCTGAGACATGCCCGTTATTTTTAGGATCAAGCCATTTCTACTGTACACTGCTACCTTATACACATAGAAATTTATTTTTTCTGAAAAAAATGCCTTTTTATGCTTGATTCAGCTTCACTTTCATTCATTATTGCTTAAAACTACACGAAAACTGTTAAAAAGTTACAAATATAGGTCAATTGTGAGTTTATAATGGGGGGGTAACTCACCCTTTTCACAGGCACTTCACAATTCATCACATATGTGTCAATTGTGAAATTGGTAAAGTTGATACCAAACAACAAATAGTTCACAGGCTATCTCCTGATGCATTCAGACTAGATTTCAGTCTGTTTCACTCAGTTCAGCACCTGGTATCCATGGTAACTAATACATAAATTTGTATTTATTGAAAATGGGTTAAATATCTGTTTTCATTCTAATTACACTATTTTATATGTTTTTCCACTTTATTCAGCATACAGAATAAATTAGCAAAGTCAATAATGTCAATAAACAAGGAAACAAGACACCTACTTACCAAGTCGGACCAGAGTGATGTCATTTGTTAGGATGTGTTGCCAAGGTAGCAACACACATACTTACCAAGTCAGACTAGAGTGATGTCATTTGTTAGGTTGTGTTGCCAAGGTAGCAACACACATACTTACCAAGTCAGACTAGAGTGATGTCATTTGTTAGGTTGTGTTGCCAAGGTAGCAACACACATACTTACCATGTCGAACTAGAGTGATGTCATTTGTTAGGATGTGTTGCCGAGGAAACAACACACATACTTACCAAACCAGACTAGAGTAATGTCATTTGTTAGGATGTGTTGCCGAGGTAACAACACATATACTTACCAAGTCAGACTAGAGTGATGTCATTTGTTAGGATGTGTTGACAAGGTAACAACACACATACTTGCCAAGTCGGACTAGAGTGATGTCATTTGTTAGGATGTGTTGCCGAGGTAAAAACACACATACTTACCAAGTCAGACTAGAGTGATGTCATTTGTTAGGATGTGTTGCCGAGGTAACAACACACATACTTACCAAGTCAGACTAGAGTGATGTCATTTGTTAGGATGTGTTGCCGAGGTAACAACACACATACTTACCAAGTCAGACTAGAGTGATGTCATTTGTTAGGATGTGTTGCCGAGGTAACAACACACATACTTACCAAGTCAGACTAGAGTGATGTCATTTGTTAGGATGTGTTGACGAGGTAACAACACACATACTTACCAAGTCGGACTAGAGTGATGTCATTTGTTAGGATGTGTTGCCGAGGTAACAAGACAAGGTCGGGAGTATAAGTTCTACAATGATTGATGTATAGTCCACCTTCATTGATCGTTCGATCTGCATCAACTGTAAACAACAAAATTGAAATCTGTATTACTTTCAGTGACCATGAGAGTTTTTGACTCAGACTTATGGTACACATACCTGGACGAATGTCATTCAATCGTGTTAACATACACTCTGCATGTCGAGTTGTTTACAGTACATTATTACATTTTACATACTTTGAAATTTTTCTACCGAATTTTAACTTTACTCATTGCCAAGTGTGTTCAGACCAAATTTAAATCATAAAATATGTATAAATAAACTAGATATTAGATATATGTACAGGATCTTAAAACCGGTTACTAGAGGTGTGTATCGCAAGGATTGTGACGATACGATACGTATCATGCGGCTACACGGGTGGTGGCCCGGGAAGAAGTTACAAATCAATTCATTTGTTACGTAGTCTGTATTACATAATTAACAATTTAATCTAATCTGTATCTCCTTCTTTGGTACCCCTTAAACCAGCATGGAGTGCCTGTGATATATGTCCAATTCAGACATCCAAGCATTTGCAATGCCTTAAGTACATTGCATGCACACCGCACATCCCGTAAAGTTGTGCAATCCCACTACAAGTTATGCAAGTCATCTGACAATGTAAAAAGTGTTGCATATAAGCCAGATCCCATGACCCATGGCAAAATCTACTGGATTGAAACACATTGAAAATGTATCAATTGTTTAAACATCTAATTATCCTATCTACAGAAAAGTTTGCAAACAGGAACTAGATTTGCAGTTTTAAGTTCAAGAAAAGCATTTCATTGCAAGGATTAAAGTTAATGACCATGCTTCAATGGAAAGATATTGTCAGATGAACAGGTTCAAGATTTCAAGGAGCGAATTTTTTATTAAGGAAAACCGGTTCAGTACTTCAACCATGATAATCACGGACCTTTCAACATAGGGCTTAATCTGATCCGACCAAGTTCATCATCAGCACAATATATGCTGTATCAGTAAAATGGACGCATTGTATATCTCAATATAAAGGGTGTTGGGTTCCTGTGGGCAAAGTTTGCATTGATGTCAATCACCCAGGATTGTGTGGGGTAGTGATAGAAAATCCATAAAAAAATAGCCAACACTCCTATTTGGCACATTTCCTGCATTGGGGTCAATTTAACCAAGGATTTCAGCAATACCCCTCATAAAACACTTTATGATCACAAATCTCACAAAGTATTGAATAACAGCCAAAAGATTATAACTGATGCCGATAAGCATTAAATCCTCTTCTTCCATACAAATTGAGAGATTTTAACCAAATGTGGTCTGAAGTATTGAAGGGCAAAGAGAAATCAACTGTACATAAACAGAGGATATGGCCCCCCGGGGAACAGAGGTTATGGCCCCCCGCGGAACAGAGGGTATGACCCCCTGGGGAACAGATCTAGGGTATGGCCCCCTAGGTAACAGAGAGTATGGCCCCCCCGGGAACAGAGGGTATGACCCCCCCGGGGAACAGAGGGTATGACCCCCTGGGGAACAGAGGGTATGACCCCCTGGGGAACAGAGGGTAGGGTATGGCCCCCTGGGGAACAGAGGGTATGACCCCTTAGGGAACAGAGAGTATGGCCCCCCCGGGAACAGAGGGTATGACCCCCCCCCGGGGAACAGAGGGTATGACCCCCTGGGGAACAGAGGGTATGACCCTCTGGGGAACAGAGGGTATGACCCCCTGGGGAACAGAGGGTATGGCCGCCTGGGGAACAGAGGGTATGGCCCCCTGGGGAACAGAGGGTATGACCCCTTAGGGAACAGAGAGTATGGCTCCCTGGGGAACAGAGGGTATAGCCCCCTGGGCAACAGAGGGGTGAGCCATCTTTGCCCAAGGATGCTGTTCACCAAACTTGGTTTAATCTCTCCATTCGTACAACAGGAGAAGAATTGTTAAAGAATTACCTTAGTTTTCCATATTGGGCCCCGCCCCTCTGCCCCCAGGGGTGCACACCCTCTGTTTATACAAAATTGAATCACCGTTGCCCAGGCCAAATTTAGTCAAAATCCATTATTCTGTTCAGGACTAGCGTTTTAAATGAAAAGTTGACGGAAGGATGAAATGATGGACGACGGACGCTGCATCATGCCATAAGCTCACAGGTCAGCTGGATTCTCAGAACACTGGTGTTAATTATATTTTGTTTATTTCATCTTTATTATTTTTCATAAAAGTCCATTATGGTTTGGCTTTCTTTGCAGAAATGATTTATCAAAACTCAAATCTTGTTGGAGAAAAAAAATAGCATTTACTTGCAGTTTCGACAATGGTACGGAAATCCTTAAGACATTACTTAAATAAAAACACTTTTCTGAAGTTAAAACACTACACTAAGATCTGTGTTACCTTCTCTATCAAAGATCTGTGTTACCTTCTCTATCTAAGATCTGTGTTACCTTCTCTATCAAAGATCTGTGTTACCTTCTCTATC